GGGGGCAGCTGCTGGCCCCCACCCATGCCCGCACACCCCCAGCTCCCCGGCAAGAAGGACCTGTTCATCGAGGCCGACCTGATGAGCCCCCTGGACCGCATCGCCAACGTCTCCATTCTCAAGGTACTGCAGCGGCCGCGGGCTGGCGGGCTCGGCGCCCCGGCCCTGCCCTGCTGACAGCCCGCGCTCTCCCTGCAGCAGCACGAGGTGGACAAGCTGTACAAAGTGGAGAACAGGCCCAGCACCAGCACCAGTGACCAGTGAGTCCTCCAGCACTGGGGGTACGGGTGCTGCCCCACACAGCCTTGGGCAGAGAGCAGCAGCACGTGCTGGTCCCGAGCATGGCTGCAGACCGGAGGGGTTGGCAGAGCAGGCAGGAGGAAGCAACGGTGATGGGTCTGGGTGCGGGGGCCTCTTCCACTCACCAGCTCCCCTGGATTTGCCTCCCCTGGACCAGAGGGGTCTCAGTGCAGAGATGCTGGTGAAGAAAAGGGGCCTGGGAAGGCAGGGCTGGGCACAGAGACTTTCCTGTCTCTCACTCCTCTCTGTCACTCTGTGCGAGCACAGGTTCTGCTTCCTCGTCCGGCCACGGATCAAAACCATGAAGTACATTGCTGGTGAGTGCGAGGGGCCTGCTGAGCAGTTGTCCGTCACCCGCTGTCAGTGGGTAGTACCTCGGCTCTGTGCTGAGATTCAGGGTACAGCTGCCTAGTGGGCTGTGCTGAGAAGGTCAGTAGTGATGTACAGGCATAGTGAGCATCCTGTGCTGCTGTAGACTGGGAGGTTAGGTGCTCTAGATTGCCAATACCAAGCAGGCTCGAGAAGGGCTTTCAGTGAGCCTGCACCCTCTGGAGATTGGCCCCACACCCAGAGTTTTGCTTTCTGCCTGGTGTGTTTCAGGTCCTGTGAGATCCGTGCACCCCAGACCTCTTCGTACAAGAGAAATTGTGCCAGTTGGGTTGATGGACAGTTTCAGGTCTGGTTAACCCAAGTCTCTTGTCTGCAGATATTGTCAATGCTGATAAGATGGCAGGGAGGAGCCGGAAGTACAAGATTATCTTCAGCCCCCAGAAGGTCAGTCTGGCTGCTTTTTCCTACCAGTTACTGCCATCGGTTCCCAGTCCAGCCGTCATGCTTTCCAATCCCCTTACCAAAACTGAAAGTTCTTAGTTTTTTACCCATAACAGTTGAACTGAAACAAAATGTTGCACTGTCTGAGAATGAGATAGCCCATCCACTACTAGGAGACCTTGGTCTGCACTCTGTGCAGGTGGTGGGGGAGCCTGGCTGGATGCTGAGGGTCTCTTCCTGTCTTGCAGTTTTACGCTTGCGAGATGGTGCTGGAGGAAGAGGGTGTCTTTGGTGGTGAGTGGGACTGGGGTGCCTGACCTCCATTCCTCCTGCCCCGACGGCTGGCTCACGGTAGCTCTGACATCGCAGAACCGTGGTGGTGGGATCCCATGTACTGGCGGGGCCCTGAGTGTGGCCAGGAAACAGCAGGGTCCCATGAGCCCAAGTGCCTGCCTGTGGGGAGGAGTGTGTGTGTCCCACCCAGCATCAGCATCTTCCAGGAAGGAGAGATGGTCCTGCCCTGCCTCAGTACAAAGCAGGGAAGCCCTCTGAAAGGCCTGATCTCTCTGCTGTCTGACCCTTCTGTTTAAGGGGCTGTCATAATTCTTGGGGCTGTTTCTGTTGAGCATTAGTTAACTGTTGGCTTTCTCTGTCCCAAACTCAGATGTGACCTGTGACGAATGGTCCTTCTACCTGCTCCCCCTGGACGATGACATCATCAGCATGGAGCTGCCTGAGTTCTTCCGTGACTACTTCTTGGTCAGTGGGACAGTTTTGCTGGGACGCCGCCTTGCGGGATCACAGCCTTTCCTTCATTCGTTTCTTGGGCCCAGGACAGAAGAGCTTTGTTCAGAGAGCTGATACATGGCATGTCTTGCTCAGTCCTCTCAGCCCTTCCAACAGGCCTTTGTTTGCTGTTCCAGCGGCCTCAGCCAGCTGCTCTGATGGGTTTTGATGCCTTTCCTTTTCCACGCACCTGTACACCAGCCCCTGTACTGGCCCCTCCTCTGGTCACTCAGACTTTGGGGAATCCCTGCATGTTTCTGTGTATTTCCTCCCTGGAAGCTAAGCCCTTGGCCTGCTCCATCCCCAGTCCAACTCCAGCCAAGTTCCCTCATGTACACAGATGCTTCCAAGCCAGCCTGCCCAGGCTTGTTCCCCAACATTCTTGTTGTCCCTGCAGGAAGGAGATCACCGCTGGATCAACTCTGTTGCTCGAGCCCTGCAGTTACTGAACTCCCTCTATGGGCCTTTCAGCAAGGCTTATGGGATTGGCAGGTGTGCCAAGGTAGTGACCATGCTGTAGAGTTCTGCCTGTGCTTGGGGGCAGGGCCTGTCTCTGGTCCCCATATGGGGTACAGTTTGCAGGGGACCAAAACCGATCAGCCGTGTAGCATCTGTGTAATCACAGAGGTC